GGGGAAGAAGGGAGAAATCAATGTCTGGGAAGCTTTGAGGAAGTTATGGTTAGACGTTTGGTTCTGGAGAGGCTTCGTTTTGATCGGCGGAGAGTTGCGGAGTTTCTGTGTCTCCGTTTTTGCTGACGAATGGTGGTTTTAGAGTATCGAAGATGCGGAACTTTGCGATGATTCTTCTGTTATTTCTCCTTGTTCATTCTCTCGGCTCGTGTCCCTTATGCTTTGGTATGAATTTAGTTCACAGAAATTCCCTCTTTCGATGTGTTTTTTTGCTTTGGTGAACAAATTTAGGAAGTGATTGAGAAAGGGGAAAAATTAACCTAGCTACAAGTGAAACTTTACTTGACAGCTCAAGATTAGCTGGTGTCTATATTTAGAATTGTTTATTGGATATATTTAGAAGCTAACTTTACGATGATGTATAAAGTAAGCAAAAGGGTTTTAGTTGTACGATTTATAGATTCATTACGTTCGGAATCTCTGATTTTGAAAGCGTGAGAGTGACAATGAATTCCCACGTTATGTGCCTTATTAGGAAACAAGCTAGTGAAAATGGCACAAAGAGCTTACTTTCTCTTTTCTTAGTATCTTGAGAAAGTAACGATTTAGTGAGAATGTGAGATATTCGCATGGTACTTTCATTCCCAAGAGAGGATGCAGTATGTATTCTTCTAGAGACATTCTATTGTTTTGTTTCTTAAGTATTCGCTGCTATGAATATTCGACATGTACAGAAAGAAATTGTCTGTGGATGACTTACCAGCTTGCTCTTATCATTTGCAGCTCGGCTATTTCCAATGAGCTTTCCGTTTACCCGATCAAAATCGCATCAAATGCATTTTTTCCATCCTCATCTTAATCCATCTGTTGCTCCTGCACCCTCACCAGGTCAGCTAGGGAATCCTTTTACTCACATAGTCTGGACAAGTATTCTAGTGTAGTTATTTTTCTGCCAAGGAGTATTCAGTGGTCTTTTTCTTTCCATTTACAGCTTTTTCCCCCAACCGAAGCCGCATTCCACCACCAAGACACAGAGGTCATCACCATCATCGTCGTTGGCATTTAAGGCGCAATGTGACAGCGGTTTCACCTTCCTCACAAGGTAATCCTTTTGCTAGTTGTTGATTATATCCCGTGTCCAATGCTAGTGGAAAGGATAATCTTTTGTATGTATACTATTTTCTTCTTTGATTAAGACCTAGTGTTATTGCTTTGGACTTCAATTGATAGATAAAAAGTAGTAATTACTCTTTTCTCTGTGTCTCTGCTTTGTCCTTTTTGATAGACTGTCAACAGACATGTGTGGAGCCTCTTACTTCAACTCCCTTTGGTTCACCTTGCGGTTGTGTTTTCCCCATGAAAGTTCAGCTTCTGCTAAGTGTTGCGCCTTTTTCTATTTTCCCTGTGACAAACGAGTTAGAAATCGAGGTTGCTGCTGGAACATACTTGGAACAAAGCCAAGTGAAAATAATGGGTGCCAGTGCGGACAGTGAAAATCAAGGGAAAACAGTGGTCGATATTAACCTTGTTCCACTTGGGGAAAAATTCGACAATACTACGGCGACACTTATTTACCAAAGGTTCCGGCACAAGAAAGTGCCTCTAAACGAGACTGTTTTTGGTGATTATGAGGTTACACATATAAGTTATCCAGGTAAATTGATTTCTTTGTACTACAAGTTTCTACTTCTTTTTTTTTGTTGTTGTTGTTTTCTTTCTGTTTGAATTTGTTAACTTTGGTTCAGGAATTCCTTCTTCTTCATCATATGGAGATATTATGGGAAGTGCTCCAAGTGCAAGCATGGGAGGGCTTCCAATCAATGCAACCTTCGGCAACAAAAGCAATGGAATAGGTTTTAGAACGATTGCTATCATTGTCTTGTCAGGTTTTGTGCTCGCTCTGGTTTTGGCTGGAGCTGTATTTATAGTCAGGAAATGGTATAATGTTGGGAAGTCATCTAATGCTGTTGGCCCAGCGTTGGCCCCGTCGATTAACAAAAGGCCTGGTAAATTTTACCTCTGGCTTTGTAACTGATACTTGCTTTTGTAGCTTTGAAAGATAGGGTGCCTTTCCTGTGTGAAACTGTTTCTGAATCTTTACACGCCTTGTAGGTGGTGGATCTATGTTTTCCAGTAGTGCCAGAAGCTCGGGATCAGATTCTCTGATATCGTCCATGGCTACATGTGCTTTATCTGTTAAGACTTTCACGCTTTCCGAGCTTGAGGCGGCAACTGATAAATTCAGTGCCAAGAGGGTTTTGGGTGAGGGAGGATTTGGTCGTGTTTACCAGGGCAACATGGAAGATGGAACCGAGATTGCAGTTAAACTGCTAACTAGGGACAATCAGAATCGAGACCGTGAATTTATTGCAGAAGTGGAGATGCTAAGCCGTTTGCACCACCGCAATCTTGTGAAACTGATTGGAATATGCATTGAAGGCCGAACACGTTGCTTAATTTACGAGCTTGTCCACAATGGGAGTGTCGAGTCCCACTTGCACGGTGACATAATCTATTCTTTGCACTTTTAATAACAATATTTCCTAACTCTCTGTTACATCTCATTGTGTCACCTTCTAAAGCCTGGTTTTCCTGGTGTTAACAAAACAGAAGGAACGCTTGATTGGGATGCACGGTTGAAGATTGCACTTGGAGCTGCGAGAGGACTGGCCTATCTCCATGAAGATTCAAATCCCCGAGTAATCCACCGGGATTTCAAAGCGAGCAATGTTCTTCTAGAAGATGACTTTACCCCAAAAGTCTCAGACTTTGGACTGGCGAGAGAAGCCACCGAAGGAAGTCAACATATCTCCACTCGAGTCATGGGAACCTTTGGGTAAAGCTTCTTTCTACTTGTCTTGCTTTGATTACCCATCCGATCTCATTCTTTTATGAATGATAAATACACACTCTGGCTGAATATTGGATTTACAATGACCACTCCGGGAAATAATTGCAGGTACGTGGCCCCTGAGTATGCAATGACAGGGCATCTCCTTGTAAAAAGCGATGTCTATAGTTACGGTGTGGTACTACTCGAGCTTCTGACCGGTAGAAGACCGGTAGACATGTCTCAACCTTCGGGAGAAGAAAACCTTGTGACATGGGCGAGACCTTTGCTAGCCAACAGAGAGGGCCTGGAGCAACTAGTGGACCCCTCGTTGGCTGGAACCTATGACTTTGATGATATGGCGAAAGTGGCTGCGATTGCTTCCATGTGCGTACACCAAGAGGTCTCACACAGACCGTTCATGGGGGAAGTGGTTCAGGCACTAAAACTTATATACAACGATGCAGAGGAGACCTGTGGGGACTATTGCAGCCAGAAGGAGTCATCAGTACCAGACTCTGCAGACTTCAAAGGCGATCTAGCACCCTCGGATAGCAGCTGGTGGAATTTGACGCCTCGGTTAAGGTATGGTCAAGCGTCTTCGTTCATAACGATGGATTATAGCTCAGGACCACTAGAGGACATGGAGAACCGGCCTCACTCTGCCTCTAGCATTCCTAGAGAAGGAGGTGTAATTCTACCAAACAGGTCGGGTCCGTTACGGCCCATCCGTAGTAGAAGAAACTTCTTTAGACTGAGAGGAAGCATGAGCGAACACGGTGGACCGTCATCGTCTAGACATCTCTGGTCCGGGAATGGAGACTGGTTCTGAGAAACCAGAAAAATGTACAGTGAAGAAGGAAAAGGGTAAAAAGGCTCACAACTCTTGAGCTGCATGGCTAGGTTTGGTTTAATCCGGTTTGGATCGGGTAAAGACTTTCCGGTTAGGAGGGGTTTTTGTTATTCACTTTTCACATTTAAGCAAATAGATTTTTAATTGTTTGTTTTTGCGAGGGATGCAAAAGCACAGCAGAGAGAGAGGGTTGTGTAATGTAATCTTGAAGGATGATGTCTGTATCTATTTCTCTATTTTCTTCTTCCCCACGAAAACCACCTTTTTATTTTTAGTCAAGTTAGTGTTGCCTAATTTTTTTGTTTAAAAGTTCCAACTTAGATTTGTTTATTTCTTGTTCCTCTGAATAAATTTTATTTTTTTTTATTTTTTGTCATCTTGCATTCATAAGGAAATAACGAACCGAGAAAACAAAACTTTCTAGGCCGGTTCAAACCATGATCAATTGAGATAGGTTTTGTTAGTGAGAGATATAACCCAATCCAAAAGCTTACCGAAACTCGGGGAACGGTGAATCACAAGCTAGAAGGTGAAAGAGATAAGAATATCACCTCGGATTCAATGGTGAACGATGAAAAAAGAATTATTATTCGATTAAACTCTCAATGAACGGCTGTTGCCTGCCGTACATATTAAGTTGCAAATCCGGTTTACTAAATACCGGTTAATTAAGGAAAACGTAAATAATAAGTAAACCAAAAAGACAGAGGAGAAGGATGCGTACTTAAACCCTAACTTGGAAGTCACGACCCGAACCTAAACGCAGTCCAGTGCTGTGGTAACAAAAAAACTGGCATCCTTGTTGTTTACCGATTGTTTCTCTTCCACGACGTTGCGTCTGAGTCTCATCCATCAGAATGGCCCAATGGTGCTTTCCTCCCCCGCCGGTGCATCGACCAGCTCAGCGTACGGTCCGCCCGTGGCCGTGGCTGCATTCTCTCCATTCGCTCCTCTTCTTGTATAGAGAGAGACTTATTTGACCTAATTGTGCAACGAATTTCAACTATATAATCTCATAAGACTTTGCTTTTCTGTTTAGCTGATGGTACTTGATGAAGTCCCTGTGACAGAAGATTATAGATGAGATCAGAACCGAAGTTACAGAAATGAAGAAATTAATCCGTGCAGTTCCTGGATTAGCAGTAATCCTTGTTGGGGACAAAATGGACTCCTACCGTTGGAATCGAAACATCCGTAGTTCGTCATTCCTCAGAAGAGGAGGTGTTGAAATCTATCTCACACTTCAACAATGATCCTTGTGTTGTGTCCATGGAATCCTTGTTCGCTCGCCTCTACCATCGGTATTATTTGGCTCATATATTAACCAATTTCACTTATTGATTTATCGAGATATTAATTTATACTTTTTATGCAGCATATGGATAAGCAGAAGATAATGAATGCGGTTAGTGTAGAGAAAGACGTTGATGGATTTCACCCGCTAAATATTGCGCGGCTTGAAAGAGAACTTTTATTAGTTCCGTGTGTTCCAAAAGGATACATCGAGCTGTTACACGGGTACAAGTTTGAGATCAAAGGGAAGAGAGTAGTTGTTATTGGTAGGAGTAAAAAGTTTTGTATACCAATTGCTTTGTTACTGCAGGTAATATAATCATACCTTGTTTTTCCTTTTTTTGGTCTTTCTTGATGTATTTTTGTGAAATGGTTAGGGAGAGGATGCAACTGTTACCATTATCCATTCTAAAACCTTAAACCCTCAAGAAATTACAAGACAAGCTGATATCGTAATCTCGGCTTTTGGAAAACCAAACATGGTCAGAGGAAGCTGGATAAAACCGGGCAGTCGTCATCAATGTTGGGTTTAGTTTAGTTAAAGTAAGTTGATCCTTTTTTTTTTCAAAAAAAAATGTTATGGTAAAAAATGCAGTTATAATTGATTAAGTCACCAATATGTGACATTCTTGTACTATTGTAGGATCAAAGTGCTCCGCCTGGCTCTCGATTTCGAAAGGTCGGAGACATTTGCTATGAGGAAGTTTGCATCAGCCATCACACCTCTTGAATTCAGCGAAGGAGGCCTAATGCCCAAAATCATGCTTCTATCCAACGTTTTAGCATCAGCCAAGAAATTTCACAAATCACAACTTGATGTAAACCTTAAAAGAATTATTAAAAGAATAATATTGCTGGCCTTTTTAGATTTAACAAACAAGTCACATCATTGTTTAAAACAATTTCCTTAAATAAGCAAAATCTATTCCAATAGTTTGCTTGCTCTGGTCTTTGAAATTGTTTTTTTTTTCTTAATGAATGTAAAATTATATTCAAAAAAATTAAATCGATAGAAACCTAAGAGTTAAAACTGAGCGGTATTGTTTAACAGAAGGGCTTGTTTCTATAAAACCACAAATGTATTTCAGTCGGATATAAATCTTTTCTTGTAACAACAAGTTAAGAAACCATGCCACACACCTTTCAACACATGATATGATCCAAAATGTATTCATCTCCGAATGGACGAAATTCATATTCTGTATAAGAAAAATATTGTGAAATCTGACCCAAAATGTATTCAACGGTAAAATGTAATTTCATATAGTTGGGGGCCATAAATTTGAATTGATCTATCTGCACTTGAAATAAAACCCAACAGCTTTTTTTCGGAAATTAAAATTTGAAGTTATCTAATAATCACATAGTAGTAATTATTTTTCTTTTTCTTCGACCGGAGGATAATCACATATCTTTCCCTGGAAATCACAACAAGCCCTAGAGATTTGAACCCAAACATATATAAACGCATTTAGCTTTTTTCTCTTTGTTTGGTTTTATATTTTTTGTCTGGAAACAATTTTTTTTTTTTTTGTTCAAACCCTAACTTGGAAGCCACGACCCAAACCTAAACGCAGACTAGTGTTCTGGTAAAAGATGGCATCCTTGTTGTTTACCGATTGTTTCTCCTCCACTACGTCGCGTCTGAGTCTAATCCACCCGAACCGCCTCAACGGTACTTCCCTCCCCCGCGGGTGCGTCGACCAGCTCAGCTTACGGACCACTGCGTCCCCTCGTGGCCGTGGCTGCATTCTCTCCATTCGCTCCTCTTCTTGTATAGAGATAGACTAATTAAAACCTTTTGACCTAATTGTGCAACGAATTTCAATTATGTAAACCTCATAAGACTTTGCTTTTCTGTTCAGCTGATACCGCGATCGATGGTAATGAATGAATTCCCTGTGACACGAAAGATTATAGATGAGATCAGAACCGATGTTAAAAAAATGAAGAAGTCACTCGGTGCGGTTCCTGGATTAGCAGTAGTCTTTGTTGGGGATAGCTACTTCTCCGAATCTTATGAGGTAACTTGCATGTTAGTACAAATGAAATCATTCGAAGTTCGTCTAGCTGAAGATTCCTCAGAAGAGGAGGTCTTGAAATCAATCTCACGTTTGAACGATGATCCTTGTGTCCATGGAATCATTGTTCCGCCGCGTCTATTGCTATCGGTATTATTTAGTTGAAAAAAAACCTTTAATTTTAATTCAGGTATTACTTTATCGAGTGTAGATGCAGCATATGGATGAGAAGATAGTGAATGCGATTAGTGTACAGAAAGACGTTAACGGATTTCACCCATTAAATATTGGACGGCTTGCAATGCGCGGAATATGTGACATTGTTATAGTACTATTTGTAGGATCCAAATGCTCCGGAAGGCTTTCGAATAGTTGGGGACATTTGCTATGAAGAGGTTTGCAAAGTTGCATCAGCCATCACACCTTTTGAAGGGGGCCCAGGATTTTTGACGATAACCATGCTTCTATCAAACGTTTTAACATCAGCCAAAAGATTTCACAACTTCATGTAAATTTTTTAAAGGATAATTTTATTGCTGGTCTTTGTAGATTTAACAAATGGTTAAAACAATTTCCTTAAATAAACATGTCTTACTCTTTTCTATATTCCAATACAAGTTTGCTTGCTTCTAGTCTTTCAAAATGTTTTCTATATATTTCTATGATACATTAAAAGTGTTTACTGAAAATTTTAAATTTGAAGTAATCTACAAGATAAAGATAATCACATATAAATCTTTTCCGGGAAAGAAATCACAACAAGGCTTAGAGATTTGGAACCCCCAAACATATATAAAGTGTTCGACATAAACTATTACTCTTAGACAAGTGTTGAGGAAGAATATGTATATCGACATAATTACTACTCTTAGTCAAATGATGAGGAAGAATATGTATGTGGACGGAAGCAACAAGGAAACCCATTAACTTGGATAAGATCACTGCACGGCTCAAAAAGCTTAGCTATGGGCTTAGCAGTAACCATTGCGACCTTGCCCTCGTTGCTCGGAATGCAATGGAGTCAACTCGATGAATTAGCTGCTGACACTGCTGCTTCCATGTCTTGTAACCATCCTGATTACGCCACAGTGAGTGTTCATATCTGATAATGCCTTTGAAATGATTTTGGAGAAATAATCTCTCTGTTTTTTTTTTGTCTTTTAATTTTCAGCTTGCTGTCTCAAATCTTCACAAGACACCAAAAACTCATTATCTGAGACGTGAGTGGAATTTTTATTATCATCGATTTGCTTATACGTTTCTTTGGTCACGGATTGAGCGGTGTTTTCAGGGTTTATGACATGTTCAATCATGTCGATGAGAGATCTGGAGTGCATGCTTCTTGAATAAGCTGATGATGTGTTTTTGAAAGTTATGAAGGTAATAATATTTTAGAAGTTCTCTTTTCTTTAGATGGTTAATGTCATAGACTGCTTCGACTTATGCTCAATCTCAGAACGCTGCTCGCTTGGACAGCGAAATCATTTATGACCGGGATTTCTAGTATGATTACTTTGGATTTAAAACGCTCGAGAGATTGTACCTCTTGAAAATCCAAGGGAAAGTTGTTGAAAGGCCTTGCTCTTGGAATCCACAAGGACGATATCGAAACTTGCCATTTCATGTCTCAGAGATGGTTCACTCAGGCATCTCCTACTCTCTGTAACGCTGGAACTCCAAGGCCTCAAGTAAGTAAAATACCTATGTATATTGTTAACTTATACGTATGGAAGATATACAAGTTAAGAGTGATGGGGAGTGAAAGATATACCTATGTTTTGTTTGATCTGCGTACTCTGTTCTTAAGCAGTTTAATCTGCTACTTAGGCCCGGCAACTGAATAAAGAATATATTTGAAACCATATACTACCATGCACTCAAAGCATCTTCAGAGCTTGGTGCATGAAATGGTGCGTACGAGACATACAAAGGAAGTCCCGTGAGCAAGGTATGCATCTCATCTTGCAATTATATCAATATCGTGTTGTGGATTGTGTGGCTGATTTATTGCGATGATTCTTTATGACATTTGCTATGAGGAAGTTTGCAAAGTTGCATCAGCCATCACACCTCTTGAATTCAGCGAAGGATGCCTAATGCCCAAAGTCATGCTTCTATCCAACGTTTTAGCATCAGCCAAGAAATTTCACATCACAACTTGATGTAGCCTTAAAAGAATTATTAAAAGAATAATATTGCTGGTCTTTTTAGATTTAACAAACAAATCACATCATTGTTTAAAACAATTTCCTTAAATAAGCAAAATCTATTTCCTTGATATTGTTTTTTTCTTAATGAATGTAAATTTATATTCAAGCAAAAACTTTGTTACAATAAATGTTAACACTAAATCGATAGAAACCTAAGAGTTAAAACCATTGAAATAATCACGAACCTCTCAAACAGAGTACTTTGAGATACTTTAGTAAACTTCAGATACAACACACAACAATCAAAAGATAACCTTATCTTTTATTTAGAAATACTCATAGAAAACAGATTGCAACTACAATCTTTTCTTCTCAGTGTTACACAACATCACCACCAAGTGATTTGTCCCTGACCATATTTCCTAACCTACCCAGGTTTCCTGTTTAGAGTACCAATAGAACAAGTACCATCTGTTCTACCTAGAGTTACGCAAACTCAGCCCCTACTGATTTGCTTCTGAACTATATCCTAAACTACCCAGATTATAATCAGCATCAGCTGACTTCTTTTTCACTCAGCAGATTATGATCTCTTTTAAATCTTTGAGTTCAATATGAACCTTTCTCTCTTTTTATTTTCTGAAAGGCTAACCAGAAAAGAAAGCCTCTACTTCTCTTTTATGGTTCTTCACACATTGCTACACTAGAGCCGACAACTACAATGTCATGCATCTGACACTCCTTTTCCAAAGGACAAGTCCTACCATACCTCTGATGATGACTTGTGTAGCTTCCACCTTTTACCCTGTAGACTTCCCATAGCTTGAGTAGACTCCTCTTTATATCCAGCATACTCTCTCATCTACTCCTTGTTGACTTGAGTGGCCTCCACTTGATATCCAGCAGACTGTTCCATCTGCTTCAACTGTTCACACTTTTATCCTGCAGACTCCACTATCTGCTGCAGCTGTTCACACCCACTTGTCTGTCTAATTGGCTTGCGATGCCACATCACCACGTTGACTCTTCCTTTTGCTTCCAGCTTATGCCACATTACCATGTTGACTTTTTCTTCTGCTTCCCACCTTTATGCTTCAGCTGAGTGACTATATGGTTCAGATCACAGCTTCTCATCTTTGTTGAGTGACTCCAGCAGAACCATGTTGCACATGTTCTCTCAACCACAAATGTATATCAGTCGGATATAAAATTTGTCTTGTAACAACAAGTAAAGAAACCATGCCACACACCTTTTAACACATGATATGATCCAAAATGTATTAATCTCCGAATGGGCGAAATTCATGTTCTATATAAGAAAAATATTGTGAAATCTGACTCAAAATGTATTTAACGATAAAATATAATTTCATATAGTTGGGGGCCATAAATTTTTTTTGATCTATCTGCACTTGAAATAAAATTCAACAGTTTTTTTTCCGGAAATTTAAATTTGAAGTTATTTAATCACATAGTAGT